CCCTTTCCCTACTGCACCGGTCTTCTAACCTGCAGGGAAATCACACAACTCAACTAGTGATCACAACAGAGTATTCTGAGAGGGGGAAGTGCTGCGTGTTGCTGTTGGAATCCTAACAACCTATGGGGTCAAGACTGGCCTACGCCCTACAGAGAGGATAAGAGGTAGTGAAGCCAGATCCTAAGGATTAGGAGGAGTTTGCCAGGGGAAGGAGGGTAGGGCAGAATGAGGGAAAGTGTTCCAAGGCAAGAGGACCACCTGTTTCATAGCTGGGCACGGAGGAGGGAGCAAGTATGGTGCTTTGAAGGGACCTAAACAAGTTAGCATAGCAGCCAAGTGGCGTTGGAGGGAAGGACCTTATGAATGAGGATGGAGGAGGTGGCACGGGTCACATAACGCAGGGTTTTGAAATTCAAGTTAAGGAGTTTGGGTTTTATCCAAAGCACAATGAGAAGCCATGGGATGATTTTAAGCTGGAACCCAGGGGATCAGATCTGCATTTTAAAAAGCTCTGAAGAGCTCTTACCCTGTCAAGAATGCTTGAGAGGGGAACAATAATGGCAGCAGGGACACCCCTTAGCCGAATGTCCAGGTAGGAGAGACAGGGGCACATTTAAAAGGTTCTGTGGTCAGAGAGATGGGGTGGCTCCATCTAGGGTAGTGCAGTGGAGGTGGAGGGAAATGGAAACATTCCAGAGAGATTTAAGAGGTAAAAACTATCAGATGTGGTTAATTGATTGATTGAAGAGGATTAAGGCTAGAGGTGCATTGTACGAAGAAAGAAAGGAAAGAAGAAAGAAAGAAAGAAAGAAAGAAAGAAAGAAAGAAAGAAAGAAAGAAAGAAAGAGAAAGGAAGAAGGAAGGAAGGAAGGAAGGAAGGAAGGAAGGAAGGAAGGAAGGAAGGAAGGAAGGAAGGAAGGAAGAAATGAAAGAAAGAAAGAGAGAGAGAGGGAGGGAGGGAGGGAGGGAGGAAGGAAGGAAGGAAGGAAGGAAGGAAGAGAGAAAGAAAGAAAGAGAGAGGGAGGGAGGAAGGAAGGAAGAGAGAAAGAAAGAAAGAGAGAGAGAGAGAGAGAGAGAGAGAAAGAAAGAAAGAAAGAAAGAAAGAGAGAGAAAGAGAGAGAGAGGGAGAAAACTTGCATTGTAGGTTGGTGTCATTTTTCCTGTTACAGATGAGGAAACAGGTTCAGAGAGGTAACTTGCCCAAAGACGAACAGCTCAAAGGCAGCAGAGCTAGAACTGAGTCTCATTCGCATCTTACTCAAAGAACTGCGCACTTTTCCCATGAGTGGCCTGTCCTGGCACCTCAGGAAATGCCAAGGACTCTTGCCCCTGTCTGGAGAGCTGAGGATGTGTAGGTTTCTCTCTCACTGGGCACTCCAACCCACCTCCTTTATTAACAACGAGGCTCACAGCTTCTACTTGTGTTGCCATCTCTCTGGAGAAATGAAGTTCGAGTTCCAAAAAGTCATCTACAATCAAATATTTTTCGAACATGATCCGCTTGTAAGTTGGGAACGACTGCATTCTTAAGGTCAGAGCTCTGTTCAGACTCTTCCTCTTGGCCACCTAAAAAGCATCCTCTTGGCAACTTCTTAAAATGGTTCTTGACCTCCAGAAAACACCGTACACCTTATGGTTGGATCACTGCTGGAATAATTAATTTCATTTCATAAGTAAGTTTGACACATGTACTGAGTTCAGCTGTGTTTTAATCCTGTAATACCAGAAGTCCCTGAGTGCCAGTAAACAAGGGCTTTGTCACTTATTTAATAGAACTCATTAAAATTCAACAAACGGTGTTATTTTACAGAGGCCTGTATTAAATAATTCTTTATTTTGAATGGGAAAAATTCAACTTCATATGGTTGTTTTTAAATGGCCAAGCAAGTCTAACAATTAGTTATCTTAATCAAAGTCACTAACGCCTGAATTACTAAAGTACTCATCAGATCCACTGCCTTATATCCAGTTCTGGTTTCCTTTGCTCAGATCTGTCTGGGCACATTTTAAACCCTGTATCTTTTGCTCTGCTTGTTACCTCCTGAATGAGAAGTGCTAAACTTTAGGCTGGCTTATTCTCATATCCTGTGATGATCAATTGTATAACCAGCCACCAAAGAGCTGTGGAAGAAATCTGTGGGGCTGACTTCTACCATCTTTAGTCCATGTCCCTCTCAGGGGCACCTCAGCCTACGAGGGACACTACAGCTTGAATCTGTCACAGCACATCACTCCCCATGAAAGATCCGACCTCACCTCATCCTTCGTCATTTCAGATGGATGATCCTACTCTACTCATTGGAGCCACGAATTCAGGATTCTGTAATCAACCAGTCAGCACACGCGGCGTGAACTTACCACGTGCCTCTGTCTAGTGTTCCCTGTCTCCCAAAACTTACAATGGAATATGAAAGTTACTAAAAAAACTCTAGAATTGGGAAATACTTGGCTTCCTTGTTAGAATTCATTGCTTCTTTTAAATGACTCTAAGCTCATGTGTATGTTATGTTAGCAAACCCTTTGTGAATTTAAAGGGTTTCTTCCCTTTACAGTTTCGTTGGTAACAGGCTCAGACAGCAAGTGAAAACTAAATGTTTAAATGCCTCAAACTGGTCCCAAAGTTAGAACAATCTCTACACAAGACTATATCATTACAAGGTGACTAACCTTTTGGACTTGAAAACCGATCTTGCTGTTTCCCTACCTGCTTTTTGCACTTAAGATGGCTCATTTATTTATGCCACTGCACTTGCAGGCAGGGGAGGAGGGATCGAGTTTGCATGTCTATGGGTCTATGTATCCGTCTGTGTGTTCAGGGGGCGGTGATTCAGGCATGCTGCCCAGGAGATCTGGCTGCTTGCCCTAGACTTTCCCTCTCTCCCTGATCGTGGAGGAGGCTGTAGATACTCTAAAATATGTTTTCCCACCCCTTGTCCATTGCCTGCCACATTACTGAGAAGAAAACAAAAAAGAAAAAAGCAGATGGAGTCAACTGAGGCAAAGAGAAAATAGACAAGCATCTAATGGGTGGGGGAACTCTTGAGAATAAATGTTTTTCCTAATTTTATCTTCATAGGTGCTCACCTCATAGGTAAGATGGAGCCCTAATTTTCTCCATTTGTCTGCATTCTCTTAAACTGAGACAATGGGTCCAATTCAAAGGGACTACCTTATCTATTGAGAACAATGGCAAGTGGGGAGGTCAACAGAAAACAGTGGGGATGGAGAAAGGAACATGGCTCTATGAATTAATTATTTAATAAATATTTACAAAAAGGCCCTTGAACCTCGGAAGTCTAAGCAACTTGAAAAGATCCTATTGCTCCTCAATTCACTCATCTGGTCAACATTTACGTAGTAGTGACCATGAGCCGGAAGGCACTGTAGGATGTGAAAAGAACACATGCCCTCAGAAACCTTAAGACTTGGGAGGGTAATACAGCACGTCACCTGTAGCCCAGGAGCCAAATCAGCTGTCACAGGTCTGGGGAGGTGGGAAAGCCCCTCGCAGAGGTCGGCGGGGCCAACCTGGTGGTGTGCGCTTTTGACCAGAAGTGACAGAGGAAGGCTTC